ATTAACTGAATTCAAAAATAGTTAGTCATGTGAATTTGCTGAGTTGACCAACAGAAAGCTGCTTGGTTTGAAAGTGTTTGATCTGTACTTTATACATCGCTACACTATGGACATTAGACAATGGACTTTTTTTGCTTGGAAATGTTTGCAGAGATCTCACACCTTTAAGTTAAAAGCCAATTATCTGCTCTGCTGCAGGTGCTGCCCAGGTTTAACTCCCGTGATGAGGTAGTGAAGGCGTACATTATGAACGTCAGCTGGTCTGCCGATCATCGTGTGATAGATGGCACCACCATGTCCCGCTTCTCCAACCTGTGGGCGCTCTTACCTGGAGAACCCAACTTCCATGGTTCTAGACCTCAAATGAACGCTGCTCTGGAAATCAGATCTCGCTGTCTGTTACTTCCTGGAGTGTCTTTAGGTTACTCATAGCAAAACAGAGTGTCGTGCCTAACGTATGAACACTCAAGTTTTTGCTATCACATTCATCTGTGGGAATATAAAACAACCTTAAGTTCTTTCTCTAGTTGCCTTAATTCAGATTAAAGACTTACTGTGCTGCGCATTTAACTTTTTTGTTGTCTTGTTATTAGAAGTCTGAATCACCTGTAGGTTTTTCTAATGCAGAGGCTTTGTCAAAGGAGGCTGATACTGACTGGCTCTTGGACAAACATCATTACTGTAGCGTCTCATTGTCTGCTGCCTTTTTCTGAGACCTCATTCACGCAAGCTTCTGTTGAGCTGACAGTCACTTCATCTAAAACCACTTGTGTTCCAGTGTGTCTGGATGTCATTGTGAAGAAAGGACCATTATTTAACTGTTAAAAGAACAAATGGACCACACATGTATATATTACTGAAATGTGATGGCAATAAAGGTTTTAATTGCAAGCTGTAGATTTTTTTTGATTTGTTATAAATTTCAACATTTAATACTGTGGTTAAAAGACAAAATCGCTTTATATGATGAACAGATTTAATTTAGGATTAATCCATCCATCTATTTCCAATGCTTATCCGAGACCGGGTCGCGGTGGCAGCAGGTTGAGTTAACGACACCCACACATCCTTTTCCCACTTCCTCCAGCTCATCCTGGGGGATCCCAAGGCATTCCCAGGCTAGCCAAGAGATATAATCCCTCCGACGTGTCCTGGGTCTGCCCCGGGATCTCTTCCCAGCTGGCTGTGTCCAGAACACCGGATGGCATCCAGGAGACATCCTTACCAGATTCCCGAACCACCTCAACTGGCTCCTTTCAATACGGAGTAGCAGCAGCTTTACTCCGAGTCTCTCCCAGATCTTCGAGTTTCGCACTCTGTCCCTCAGAGAAAACTAATTTCAGCCATTTGTCAAGTCACCTTTATTTGTATAGTGCTTTATACAATACTGGTTGTGTCAAAGCAGCTTTACAGTGGCAAACAGGAAAATATGTTGTCAATAATACAAGAGGACAATAACAGTCATTTTTCAAGTTAAAGTAAGATCATTGATGATTCAGTGATGTCATCATCCAGTTCAGCTCTCTTCCAGCAGTGTCTGTGGAATCAAGCATACCCAACTAAGCCAAAGGCGACAGTGGCAAGGAACCAAAACTCCATTGGTGAAAGAAATGGATAAAAAAATACCTTGGGAGAAACCAGGCTCAGTTGGGGGGCCAGTTCTCCTCTGGCCTGACGAAACCAGCATGGTGTGGTTTAATTCTAGGCTGCAACACAGGTCAGATTGTGCAGAGGAGTTGTCTGGTTCCTGTGATCTTGTGCCGATGGCCGTCTAGTCGACAAGGTCTTCACAAGGGATCTGTCTCTAGGGCTCATCTAGTTGATATGGTCTCTGCTGACATTTAGGGCTGTAGAGGTCATCTCTGGGGTGCTGATCCACCATCTGGTCTTGTACCCACAATCTCATTCTTTTGGTCATTGCCCAAAGCTCATGATGCTCATAGGTGAGGATTGGAACATAAATCGCCGCAACGATCCACCTGTCAATCTCATGCTCCAGCCTACCCTCAACTCATGACAAGACCCCAAGGTACCTGAACTCCTCTACTTGGGGAAGCAACTAAGTCCCTAACTGGAGTGGGCAATCCACCCTTTTCCGGCTAAGAACCATGGCCTCAGATTTGAAGGTGCTGACCCTCATTTCCTCTGCTTCACATGCAAACACAGCTTTCACACCGGTTTTATAGAGACCGGGTAGCACGCATGTGACAGCACACGTGTTTGAGCATGTTTACGCTTCTGTTTACCATATGCGATCAAGGTTTATATATAAAGAAAGCCAAAATGAAAACTGTTCATCATGTAAAGTGACCATGTCTCTTCAGACTTGTATAGTTTTTGAAGCATCAACATTTTGGTGGAACAGACTTCAATGTAGATACAGAAATCTTGGTCAGTTTATAATAGGTGGCCTTAAGTACTAGGTATGAACAGTAAATACCAAGAAGACTATGGCTTTACTGGGAAACTACTGTCAGTTTGAGGTATGGTTAGGGTTAGGACTAAGTGTAGGGTTAGGGTTATAGAGGTTACAGTTAGGGTTAAAGTTAACAGTGTAACTACAACTCAAGTACTTTAAATGTAATAAAAACGGACCAGGTATGTATATACATAAGTATATGGTATATGGATAGTTCACCCAAAAATTAAAATTCTGTAATTTACTCACCCTCAAGTTGTTCCAAACCTGTACGAGTTTCTTCTGCTGAACACAAAATATACTATTTTGAAGAATGTAGGTAACAGTTGCTGCTCCCCACTGACTTATGGCACTTTTCCACTGCGTGGTATGGCACGGCTCGGTTTGCGTTTCCACTGCAGTTGTATCGCTTTAGAGTGGGCAGAATTATTCACATGTCGTTATAGTTGCGCCATCTCTATTGCCGCGACTCCTGAAAAACTTTTTCATTCCACGTCGCCCCATCAAGCTCTCGCTGGATCCGCTCCTCTGCTATCAACAAGAGGAACGTCTGTACTTCCTCAACAGACAACGAAACAGCCACTTTTTGGTTGTTAAAAAAGGTGTGCTTGTTCAAAACAGTTGAGTTGGATCCTTCGCTGACTGTGCCGATTTAAATCTAGCGGTTCTGTTGTGTTCAGTGACGCAGGTAGTGACGATTCTCTCCGGCCAATCCGTGATCAGCAGAGTTTACACGTCAAATTTTGGTAACGGTACGGTTCACTTGGAACCTCAACTGAGGTGGTACTAAAAAAACTACCAGGTACCAGGTACTGTCCCCAGTGGAAACCCCCCCAAATGTACCGAGCCGTACCGTGCAGTTGAAAAGCGCCATTAGATACTATTTTTTTCCTCTATACTATGGGCACCAAGGGGGACCAGAAACTGACAGAACTTTCATTTTTGGGTTAACTATCCTTTTAAGGCTACCTAACATGCGACCGAAATCTCATGTTCGTTATGTTACGAAGACAAACAAAAATCTTATGGGGTTGGAACAACATGAAGGCAAGTAAAGGATGACAAAACTTAATTTTTTTTGGGTAACCTATCCCATTAACAGCTTTCAGTTGAAATCATAGAGCTTTTAAGTCTCCGCTCAAAAGCTGAACGAGGCAATCTTGTCTATTTTTCTGATTTAGAAATATTAAACCCTTAATGCCAGTACAAATGGCGAAACAAGAGGAACGGCTGTACTTCCTCAACAGACAACGAAACAGCCACTTTTTGGTTGTTAAAAAAGGTGTGCTTGTTCAAAACAGTTGAGTTTGATCCTTCGCCGACTGTGCTGATTTAAATCTAGCGGTTCTGTTGTGTTCAGTGACGCAGGTAGTGACGATTCTCTCCGGCCAATCCGTGATCAGCAGAGGTTACACGTCAAATTTTGGTAACGGTACGGTTCACTTGGAACCTCAACTGAGGTGGTACTAAAAAAACTACCAGGTACCAGGTACTGTACCCAGTGGAAAACCCCCCAAAAGTACCGAGACGTACCGTGCAGTTGAAAAGCGCCATTAGATACTATTTTTTTGCTCTATACTATGGGCGCCAAGGGGGACCAGAAACTGACAGAACTTTCATTTTTGGGTTAACTATCCTTTTAAGGCTACCTAACATGCGACCGAAATCTCATGTTCGTTATGTTACGAAGACAAACAAAAATCTTATGGGGTTGGAACAACATGAAGGCAAGTAAAGGATGACAAAACTTAATTTTGTACCGAGCCGTACCGTGCAGTTGAAAAGCGCCATTAGATACTATTTTTTTCCTCTATACTATGGGCACCAAGGGGGACCAGAAACTGACAGAACTTTCATTTTTGGGTTAACTATCCTTTTAAGGCTACCTAACATGCGACCGAAATCTCATGTTCGTTATGTTACGAAGACAAACAAAAATCTTATGGGGTTGGAACAACATGAAGGCAAGTAAAGGATGACAAAACTTAATTTTTTTTGGGTAACCTATCCCATTAACAGCTTTCAGTTGAAATCATAGAGCTTTTAAGTCTCCGCTCAAAAGCTGAACGAGGCAATCTTGTCTATTTTTCTGATTTAGAAATATTAAACCCTTAATGCCAGTACAAATGGCATGAGAAAACATCAACAGAGAAACCTTTTTATTTTTGGTCCAAGCATTTACTTGGGACAGTAGTACATGACATAGTATGCGAGGTGTAGCCGGTGAGTCATTTGAGTATTGCATGAATGTGCGACTGCGGTACCTCCCGTCTTAACGTCGATCTCGTTCAGACAGCTAGGCTTTCAGATGTACAAATACACATCTTTGATTGGAATAGATTATAAACCATCATATGAGAACTCCCTGGGCATAATCGTTCAGAAACCCATCCTTACATAATTAATCACACTGAATGTGATGACTTATGCAACAAATGATTCACAAAGAAACTTTGTGCTCTCGTGTATCAGCCAAAGATTCAGCTGAAAAGAAAAGGAAGGTGTCGTTTCTCCCAGGAACCTCTGAAACCCTCAGGTGGTCTAAGAAATGGTCAAACTCTGGAAGACACTGACTTGTCTTAACGTCGATCTCGTTCACAGACAGCTAGGCTTTCAGATGTACAAATACACATCTTTGATTGGAATAGATTATAAACCATCATATGAGAACTCCCTGGGCATAATCGTTCAGAAACCCATCCTTACATAATTAATCACACTGAATGTGATGACTTATGCAACAAATGATTCACAAAGAAACTTTGTGCTCTCGTGTATCAGCCAAAGATTCAGCTGAAAAGAAAAGGAAGGTGTCGTTTCTCCCAGGAACCTCTGAAACCCTCAGGTGGTCTAAGAAATGGTCAAACTCTGGAAGACACTGACTGAACATTAAAGAGAAGATCACAAATATGGAATGCTACTTCAGTGGAATGTGATTGGTGAGTAAGATCTGTGTGCGTTTAACAAGCTTTAAGAAACAACAAAATGGGGTTTCTGGGTGATCGTATGTAGGAAGTAAGATAACAGGTCAGGAGAAGTTCTTGAGGAATGTTTCTAATATTTGGCTTGCTCTTAAGATGAGCCTGACACTTTTAAAGCAAAGGGCTTTCTTCTCTTTCCGAGTCTACAGAGCAGCACCTCTTCAACTTGGATTGACTTTAAGACACATGATGGAACAGTGTTTTAAAATAAACATAGGCAGAAATTCCCATTTGGCATTTCAGAGCAGGTAATCACGTTGGTGGTTTGTGTTTTAAACAATTGGCAAAGCGTTTAATAAATATAAATCAAATTGGTATTTTTTCCTTCAGAGCCACCTGAGGGTTGGTCAAAAGCATGCAGAGGTCCTGGGTAAAGGTTCAAGGTAAATCCTTGCTCTATTTAAAAGTTTTCCTTTAAAGCAACGTTCAAGGCATCTCTCCTTCACATAAATAACAATGAAATGTACATTAAAAAAAAAAGTACAAGTATAAATTGCCATTTTCATGAATGAGGGTAAACCAGTCCATGTGTCTGCTACATGAATAAACCCTCATCATAAAAGTCTTTAAAGACAAAGTATCCAAACCGATTGATTGATCACGCTGCGATGACGTGTCCAAAGTCAGGTGCTTGATTTATATAAGCGCGGGTCCCGTCAAGCGGTTTGAGAACTACGTATTATGTACACCGTCCACTGAATTCATTTTTTGTTTGGATCTTCACAAAAATTATCAAGGCAGTAACGAAGGAATCAAAAACAGTACAGTAACTGAAGTGGCCACTCCTGTTGCGTGTGAGAGTCAGTGAGGTCTCGGTGTGAAATGTGTGTGTGTGCAGTCAGGCAGCTTTGTGATGGCTTGATTGGAAAGCTTCTGAAGAGTCGAGGCTCACTGAGATCTATGGTCCTATAAAAAACAACTTCTCAAGCCACTGTAGACGCAAGGGTCAGGTGTCGTCATCGGTGTCCTCTATCAGGACTTTGGTGTCTCTGACCTTTGACCTGAAAATAAAAAAAAAGAAAAGATATCCTTGAGAACCCATTAGAGCATCTGTATGATGGTGCTCTTGAAGTTTACAAGGCACTTTCCACAAACAGGGTCCCTGATGTCCTGTTACTTTTTAATAAAGGCACAAATCCCTTTATTAAAATGTTCTTTAGCGAGAGAACTATTAAATGTTTCGATTTAATTTAAAAACAAACCATTACCTCATGTACATCAACAAATCAAAATTGAAAAAATCAAAAACCTCATTTTCATGGCTGTTTTAAGGAAGACAAATTTTTTTCTCTCCGTTATATGAAACACACATTCACTGTATCAATAACAACAAACCAACATTTGGTCCTAAACTGCAGGGCACCTTTAGTTAGGCTAAATGTGCAACCCTGTTACTCATTCATTGCTTCAAAATGAAATCTCATAATTCAAGGTTTTAAAGTGTATGTCCCGAATTTTCAGACACTTAAGTGGACCATTTAAAAAATTAAAATAAAATACATTTATCATACTTTTTTTTGTGGTTTCAAGCCCTATTTTACACCCTCTCTATCAAAAGTAAAAAACTAAAACTGGTGAGGTCTTTGTACAAAAAAAATAGGACATTGCTAGTGTTGCTAATATTTTAATTTCAGGAGGAAGTTGCAAGGATAATAAGCTTTTTGATCCATCTAAACCAGTGGTTCTCAACCAGGAGGTCGGGGCCCATTAGGGGGCATCTGCCAACTTTCAAGGGCGCCTCAAGATGACTTCAAATCATTTAAAATAAGACAAAACAGCATTAGAATTAGCTAAAACAACAAACTCTTGGCTAATATATTTTTTTATTCACCCCTTCAACTGTTTTTTTTTTTTCTTTGAAGAACCAGGGTTAAAAACCACTTCCGCTTGGAAAACAGGGAACATATTAGGTAGCTTAATTTTAAATGTGTGATTTTTGCAAAAGTCATGTCAATTAATGTGTCTAATTATTTACTTATGTGGCAAGCAGCCGTGTAATAAGCGGGATAATGTACATCCAGCCGGTTGTTATTGCAGAATAACCCCCTTCAGGGTGATACAAGTCGTGCCGGGAGTTATTCTGCGATAACAACCGGCTGGATGTGCATTATCCCTTACTTAAACTCCACAGGTCTTTTTATAAAGAATATACATTTTTATAGTTAGCTTTATAAAATTTCATTGACTACAAATTGAGAGTAAAAAAATTATTATCTAGTAAATCACAAATAACTGGAAAAGCCAGGTCAATTAATTGGTTAAAAAGAATAGGATGGATTTGTGTTTGTGAGGCTGAGCGTACTGAGAGGAGAGGTATGGTCTTCTCAAAGGCATGCTGTAGGTTCTCTTCCAGTTCTTCTTTCCCTGTCTGTTCCTCACTCCATCCTCTTGGTCCATCATCTGCTCCAGTAGCGTCTGGTCATCTGCATTCATAGGTGCTACTGAGATGTCCCGCACAGCTCTGAACTCACCACAGTTATTCAGGATTCTCCTGGCTCTTACCAGTAATTTGAGTAGCCAGAAGCGAGATTTATAGTAGCACGTTTTGAAAGGGTTGATAAGGAAAAAGAAGAAGAATCCATAGAGAGCTAGAGGGTTCACTTGTATAGGTATCATTGTGTAATTAGCGAAGAGGCAGGACAGAATACTAACGCACCAAAGAACTCCAAGGAAACCAGCAATCTGCACATAAACAGAGAGAAATAAATTTATAAATCTGGTTCTTTTAATTTTACATTGTTTTTAGCCTGGCAGGAAATTTGACAAGAGCTGTGCACTGAAAAAAATCTCTAAATGTATGAAGTGGCCGTCAAAATAAATGTGAGCAATCTGTGATTATTTTAAGCGCACATACAACTGTTCTTTTTTCACATAAAAATTTTGTACATTCGAAAAGTCACACGGAATAAAGGACTCAAAAAATGAAACAACAGCATTATATTTAATCATCTCTTGCCATGTCGTACAAATTAATGCCTAATAAACATTGTGATGCTATACTGTTATGTTAACAAATCTTTATATATCTTAATTTCACAAAACAGTTGTGAAATTTGCTTTAGATGGAATTAAAATAAAACATTAATTTTATTGGTCAGAACTTCAATAACAGATTTCTAATTACCTCAAAAAGATGTTGGTGGGACAGGTTGTTGCGGGGGTTGAGCTCGAATATTAACACATGGTTCACTCCAGCCTGCCTCCATCCATACGTGTTGATTCCCAATAAAAAAAGGAACTCGATGAGCAGGAAACCACCTCGATAAATTCTCACCAGGGGCCAAACATTCTTCTCCTCTCCTTTAACAAGTTTAACAACACCTACACATGCAAAACATATAATTGTCAATATAACCAAACCACTGAATCCTTGAAAAAGATTCTGATCACAAAGTTATATTAATGTTGTCAAATGTCTTTAGAGACGGGGGAAATATTAGACCTTATAAAGTAACTAAAAGCAAACTTTCATTAAAATAGCAGTTTTCTAAAAGGCATATGAGAAGTTATATACCTGTGATGATGACTGTGACTGTTAAAGCAACGAAGACACCACAGTAGAGTCCTACTCTAAAAGTGGTCCATGCTGGTGCAGGCTAAGATAAAGAGCACAGGATGGTGAGATGTTCATGTTCTTTTAACGGTACTAATGAAAGGTGTTTTAGTGAAAGTCACAGAGTGTTCTACCTGTGCTGCTCCCAATGGGGGCACTCTGAGCCTCTTCATGGCTTTCTGTCGGTCTCCTCCGTCCAACTCTGTGGTAACAAGGCCCTGGGGATTTAAGAACATGCTGTCAGAATAACTAACCACTGTGCTATTTTGATCAGTCACAATTTAATTGTTCTTTAAAGCAGAAATAGCTTTTCTGAAAACCTTATACTTTAAGTGGAATGAGTCATTTGAGTGAATGGTACCTCGGTTTCAGAGATGAGCTGAGTGATCTTCTTACAGGTGTAAAAAGGAGCCACTTCAACATGGGCCACACGCCAATCAGCGCCTCGTGTTGTCTCAAAGATCTTGTCATGTTTCTTTAAAATCTTCCGAAAGCCTGTGAAGTTTAGATTCTGACAGGGAGAAACCATTAACATTTTAAATGAGATTGAGTTCAAAGAATGCCCAATCAGAAATGAATAAAAAAAAACAGTTAGACACTAGCTGGATCGTAATCAAATGGGAATTACTGAAAAAGCAACAACCGAGGGAATAATTAAGTTATCATGTGCAGAGGATTCTATGTAGTCAATTCCACCAAACACCATGACACAATTTTCAATATTCAAAATGGGATTTAAGAACATGCTGTCAGAATAACTAACCACTGTGCTATTTTGATCAGTCACAATTTAATTGTTCTTTAAAGCAGAAATAGTTTATCTGAAAACCTTATACTTTAAGTGGAATGAGTCATTTGAGTGAATGGTACCTCGGTTTCAGAGATGAGCTGAGTGATCTTCTTACAGGTGTAAAAAGGAGCCACTTCAACATGGGCCACACGCCAATCAGCGCCTCGTGTTGTCTCAAAGATCTTGTCATGTTTCTTTAAAATCTTCCGAAAGCCTGTGAAGTTTAGATTCTGACAGGGAGAAACCATTAACACTTTAAATGATATTGAGTTCAAAGAATGCCCAATCAGAAATGAATTAAAAAAACCAGTTAGACACTAGCTGGATCGTAATCAAATGGGAATTACTGAAAAAGCAACAACCGAGGGAATAATTAAGTTATCATGTGCAGAGGATTCTATGTAGTCAATTCCACCAAACACCATGACACAATTTTCAATATTCAAACATTTTTTAAAACATTTAAGGCTACGTTCAACCTGCCACATTAAAAAATTTTAAATGAGATTGAGTTCAAAGAATGCCCAATCAGAAATGAATAAAAAAAAACAGTTAGACACTAGCTGGATCGTAATCAAATGGGAATTACTGAAAAAGCAACAACCGAGGGAATAATTAAGTTATCATGTGCAGAGGATTCTATGTAGTCAATTCCACCAAACACCATGACACAATTTTCAATATTCAAAATTTTTTTAAAACATTTAAGGCTACGTTCAACCTGCCACATTAAAAAAATAAATAAAAATCATGAACAGCCAATCAAAAAAATCAGATGTGAGCAACCGATCAGAACTGAGAACTAAGGCTTGTAAACCATAGACTAAAAGTGTTTTGCATGCTTTTAGACCTGGTAGTTCTGCAGCAGGATGAGGCTGAGGTAGAACTCGCTGAAGGCCAGCTGCAGGTCTTTGATATTGCGATGTTTGCAGCGCTCCTGCTGCGACAGGTGGAAGACAGTACGACGGCGGCGCAGACCTGTGGCTCGGCTGCTCTCCCGCTGTGCGTCCAGAGACGACTGCAGCTCATTCTGCAGAGTGGCAAATCGCCGCTGTGCTTCCGCAAGCTTCTCTGTGTCATAAAAGAATGGAAACATCATCAGTATGTAAAGCAGCTGGAAGGATGGAAAGCATATTCCTGGTCTGAATGTAAATGTCATGTCCAGGGCTCCGTACATAATAATAAAAAAAAACCTTTATATGCATTACCTAACAAGTACAAACTGTGATAATATTGAATTTGACAAGCAATAAAGACTGAAACCCATGAGATAAAATATTTCTATAAAATAGCTCCTGCACACAGTGTGACCAGTAATGTTGAGATCTGAGAAACCAACTCACAAAACCGTGTATGACTTAATTCAAATTTATGGGCTCATACATCTCGTTCGGCATGAATCCAAATGTTTCCACGGTCACAATGTAACACTTGGCTGCAAACCAATTTTTTTATTTATTTTGTAAACAATGCTTCGTACTTCACTCGTGTCCAAACATTCACATCAAAAAAAAAAAAAACATTCAAGTGTGCAAAAATGTGTTTTGCTGTACCACCGCGGTGGGGTGTTTATCATGCTAACCCACAAAGACCTATTTCACATTAACTTTGAGAGAGAGAAAGAGAAAGCAGGTGGTTATTTATTGGGATATAAAAAATAACAGCAGTCCTGGTTTAACTCCTGGCTTTAGCTCAGGAGCTTTAATGTTTGTTTTCTCAAAGGTAAATCTCTGTGTGATGGGTAACCTGTCACTGTAAATACTAAAGACAAAAAATGGAAACAAGTACTAGACACAAACTGTGAGCTTTACCTTAAACAAATCTAATGTTTACACTTAGTTACCTGAATAGAATGTGTTGATTTTGGCCAGCTCCTTCTCACATGTTTGGAAGAACTTCTCCTCAAACTTGGCATAGTATCTCTTGACAGTGTCTTCATCTGTGACTAAAGGATGCAGTGTGAAAAGGTTACTCAGGAAAACACACACACACACACACACACACACACACACACACACACAGTGGGTACGGAAAGTATTCAGACCCCCTTAAATTTTTCACTCTGTTATATTGCAGCCATTTTCTATCAAAAAAACAAGGTAATATACTGAGCAGAAAAAGAGGAAACGAAACTTGCAGAGAACTCGGTTCTCTCTCACAACTCAAAGGCCTGAGGTTGTTTGTGGGAAAGAGAAAAAAAAGCAGTGAAGCTCTTACTGCATAGCAGTACATCAGATTCACATGTAGGACCTTGTGAATATGATCTTTGGGTCTGAAACGTCACTGGCAGGTTCACACACACCGCACACAGAAAATGTTACTCTCGTTTAAAACACAATTTCTGTGCAGGAGATCTCAAGGATAGGAGTTTGGCTCATGTCATTCCAAGCATTTAGAGAAGACTCAAATGAACCTTTTTGTAAGTGAAATAAGGGTCTAAAACAGCATGAATAAAATGAAGTCATCATCCAGGTTAAGAACATTAGACTACATTCTATAGAGGCAACTGAGGACACCCTTTTGCACCAACAAAAATCAATTAATCTGGTAATCCTGTTGAATTAATTGTAAAAAAAAAAAAAAAATAGATTCCAAAATAATCGTCGTTATCAGGTCCACACAAAATCTGCACTAGCAGGGCTCTGAGGCAACTGAGGACACCCTTTTGCACCAACAAAAATCAATTAATCTGGTAATCCTGTTGAATTAATTGTAAAAAAAAAAAATAGATTCCAAAATAATCGTCGTTATCAGGTCCACACAAAATCTGCACTAGCAGGGCTCCACATAAATCTCCACAGATTTCTACAGAATTGGAAAGACCCATCTAAATTATCTAAAATTGAACCATGTCTACACCAGACACGAGCAGCGTGACGCAACAAAAGAACCCGTTATAATCAGTGAAGCTGTCTACACTGTATGCGGCGTGACAACTATGCAGTAAACCAATGCCCCGTTATACTTCTGACATGTTTCAAGTGCTTGTGGAACTTTCGACAACAGGACAATGGATTTGGAACGTTTGCCTTGATGCGTCCAGTGTAGACGGCCCCTGAATATTTCTTATGCAGAACACAAAAAAATATATATTTTGAAGCATGCTGGGGTGGCAACCAAGGTTATTTTCGTAAATGAAAACTAAAACTAAGACTAAAACGATTGATGAAAAAACTATTTCGTAAACTGAAATAAAATAAAAACGTCAAAATAATTGAAAAACTAAAACGAAACTAAACTAACAACAGTTATTGAAAAACTAACTGAAATAAAATTAAAATAATATTTATCAAAAATAAATAATCGTTTTCATAATCATTAAGTTCTCACCCCTTGGCGGAAAAATATATAGAAATAGCCTACCTGTAATGGCGCATCACGCACATGGGGTTATCTGACGGAGAGACGCAAAGCAGTTTAAAGTCTGCACGGGTCCTGTTTGGTAAACGTGCACCAGCAGTACTTAACAGAACACCCGACCCATTATCTGACAGCAGCACTAATTTAATTCTGTACCAGACCAGAACCGTTTGACAAAGACCGCGAGTCGCGACCCGAACCGCACTCGCATTAAATCTATTACATCAGTTAAGCAAGATTATTTATTTTATCATGTAACACAAGCAATCAAACCAACATTAGGCATTCTAAGTCGGTGCTTTGAAGAAAAACAGACATGCAGCACAACATGATAATTAACAGAAAAAAAGATGAGAACGTGCGTCCTTTCTGTAAACAACACAAAACTTCTGCCTAGCATCTTCTGATCATTCTGCCAGGCTTTTGAACAAATGTGCACTGGCTAAATCACATAATACACATGCTTATAATTCTTCATAAATGACAAAAAAAAACATTCAAATATAAGCCTTTACTGTTAAATGCGATTGCCGTTATTATTGAATTTCATTAGTCCCAGTTTTGATTTATGCACGGCTGTTCACGGAAAAATGAGCAAGACACCACAGTTACAATATCATGATTATGGTTAAATAAGAAAAGACAACCAAATCAGGCTACATTCATACTAAATATCTCAACACACATAATTGGATATGACATTAAGCGCAACTTGTGTAGATTAATTTAGTCAAAAAGGCTTGACTGCTTTCTTTGGCGTATATTTGTATACTTATGCTATCTAATCAATCTCAGCATGCGTTAATTTTGTGTCGCTATATGTTTGCCTCACTAAGGTTAATTTATGCCTACGTCTGTCTTTGGCCTGCGCTCTGGAAGTGATCTGTTAATTCTGCTCAACTTTAAAACTGAAACTAAAACTGAAACTAAACTATATAATTAATTGTAAAAAAAAAAAATAGATTCCAAAATAATCGTCGTTATCAGGTCCACACAAAATCTGCACTAGCAGGGCTCCACATAAATCTCCACAGATTTCTACAGAATTGGAAAGACCCATCTAAATTATCTAAAATTGAACCATGTCTACACCAGACACGAGCAGCGTGACGCAACAAAAGAACCCGTTATAATCAGTGAAGCTGTCTACACTGTATGCGGCGTGACAACTATGCAGTAAACCAATGCCCCGTTATACTTCTGACATGTTTCAAGTGCTTGTGGAACTTTCGACAACAGGACAATGGATTTGGAACGTTTGCTTTGATGCGTCCAGTGTAGACGGCCCCTGAATATTTCTTATGCAGAACACAAAAAAATATATATTTTGAAGCATGCTGGGGTGGCAACCAAGGTTATTTTCGTAAATGAAAACTAAAACTAAGACTAAAATGATTGATGAAAAAACTATTTCGTAAACTGAAATAAAATAAAAACGTCAAAATAATTGAAAAACTAAAACGAAACTAAACTAACAACAGTTATTGAAAAACTAACTGAAATAAAATTAAAATAATATTTATCAAAAATAAATAATCGTTTTCATAATCATTAAGTTCTCACCCCTTGGCGGAAAAATATATAGAAATAGCCTACCTGTAATGGCGCATCACGCACATGGGGTTATCTGACGGAGAGACGCAAAGCAGTTTAAAGTCTGCACGGGTCCTGTTTGGTAAACGTGCACCAGCAGTACTTAACAGAACACCCGACCCATTATCTGACAGCAGCACTAATTTAATTCTGTACCAGACCAGAACCGTTTGACAAAGACCGCGAGTCGCGACCCGAACCGCACTCGCATTAAATCTATTACATCAGTTAAGCAAGATTATTTATTTTATCATGTAACACAAGCAATCAAACCAACATTAGGCATTCTAAGTCGGTGCTTTGAAGAAAAACAGACATGCAGCACAACATGATAATTAACAGAAAAAAAGATGAGAACGTGCGTCCTTTCTGTAAACAACACAAAACTTCTGCCTAGCATCTTCTGATCATTCTGCCAGGCTTTTGAACAAATGTGCACTGGCTAAATCACATAATACACATGCTTATAATTCTTCATAAATGACAAAAAAAAACATTCAAATATAAGCCTTTACTGTTAAATGCGATTGCCGTTATTATTGAATTTCATTAGTCCCAGTTTTGATTTATGCACGGCTGTTCACGGAAAAATGAGCAAGACACCACAGTTAGAATATCATGATTATGGTTAAATAAGAAAAGACAACCAAATCAGGCTACATTCATACTAAATATCTCAACACACATAATTGGATATGACATTAAGCGCAACTTGTGTAGATTAATTTAGTCAAAAAGGCTTGACTGCTTTCTTTGGCGTATATTTGTATACTTATGCTATCTAATCAATCTCAGCATGCGTTAATTTTGTGTCGCTATATGTTTGCCTCACTAAGGTTAATTTATGCCTACGTCTGTCTTTGGCCTGCGCTCTGGAAGTGATCTGTTAATTCTGCTCAACTTTAAAACTGAAACTAAAACTGAAACTAAACTATATAAAAACTAAATAAAAATGTGTTCACAAAATAAAAACTAAACTAAAACTAACAAAAATATTAATGAAACTAATAAAAACTAAACTGAATTTTATAGCAAATTTGAAAACTATATTAAAATAAAACTAATTTAAAAATTCAAAACTATAATAACCTTGGTGGCAACAACACTGGACCTCAACTGTCTATGAAAACAGTTCTTGAAAAAAGTCTTATGTTCACCAATGCTGGATTAATTTTTTTTGCATTTATGTATTTGCAGTAAATACAGTAATATTGTGAAATATTATTACAAATTTAAAATATCAGTTCTCAATTTTAATATATGTTAAAATGTATTTGTACACTGTATTTTTAAATTAACTCAATTTATTGAGACAAACAACTAATTTTTTTAGTTTTAAGTCAAAAACAAAATTAAACTATTTAATTTCTAATGTTTTATATGCTGATTAAATAGGTTAAACTTTTGGCTTGTCTCCCGAGGCCACAGGAGGGCGCAATGAGCAAAATAATGCAGCACATTAAATTGTCAACGCAAGGAAGTAACTGTCTGTAAAAAAAAAACGTGCATTACGTCTAAATTAACTCATAAATAAAATATAATTTCGTAAATTGCATAAACAATTATGAACAAAACAGCATCACGTATTTATGCATTGCTTAATACAAAGAGCCGAATCGCCGATCACACAGATTGCCTTTAAAAACATATGAGATGCAGTGAAAAGGAATAAACCTCCACAAATTTGCGACGTGTTTTCTAACAGTTTAAACTGTTTTAATTTTGCATGGCTGTCTACATCTCTTGTGTGAGACGTGAGTGCAGCAGTCGTATTTTTGTCCGTCTAGAAAATGTGCTGTATATGCGTTCTGTGTGAATGGTTTGGTTTCGGTTTTAACCTAATCAAGATCTTCTAGACATTGAGCTACTATATTTCTCTAATATTTTGAATGAATAACGCAGCAACTGCGCGTCTCGTGGGCTAGACTAACAAAACATTAAACTACAATGTCACTTACATCATCACAGTTTAAACTGTTTTAATTTTGCATG